TCAGCCATCTGGCTCTGCCTGAGAACAAGTTGCCGCTGTCCTAAGCACCATGTGTGGTCGTGTGTCACGACAGCCATGGGGACTGGATCAGGAAGCAGAAAGCTGCGGAACCAACCGCATGGACATCAGCCAGCATCCCCTGCCTGGGTGCCTGTGGGGGAAGAGCCCAGGTATCTGACAGGAGTGTTGCTGGCGCCTAGACAGGCTGTCACCAGGGCTGTGGCCCAATTAGCTCAGGGCACTGGAGGGACAGCAAGGCACCTCTCTGCAGCCACTGTGAAGACACTGGAGAGGAAGTGGCCGCTAGATGTGCCACTGCCGGGCCGCCCACTTCCCCATGCTGGCCCTTGCATAGCATTTCCCAACCTCAAGCCTGTGCTCTCAGGTATACCACCCCAAGCCAGCAGCTGCTGGCACTGACTAATGCCAGTGCTGCAGGTTTCTGATGAGAAATGCCAGGAGTGATGTCGACCCCCACACTACCCCCACTTGTCTCACATTGGGGAGGGGGTTACCCAAGGGCTCCCGTGGCTTCCTGAAGGTACAAGAGCCCAAATAGCTTCGGAGGGGGGGCATGCCCCTCATGCAAGCTCTGAGTTGCTGTCACCAAGGGATGTGGTGAGGATAGTGGGGTCCCCCAACATCAGCAGCCAGGGCTCTGTGACAGCAGGTCGGCACTTTTCAGGGAAAAGCAGCCTCAGAAATGCCTAAGAAGTGCTCACATGCAGACACCTGGCCTGCCTCTCTGGGCCAAGAAACCAGAAATTTGTGCCAGGCCCAGGACCCCGAGTATGACATGTGCTCCCGGGCCTTGGGAAGCCCACTAGAGGAGGGTAGCAGGTGACCAGCTCCACCCCTGTGCAGATGGAGAGAACAGGCTAGCTAGTCTGGAGGGGTGGCACAGTACAGCCAAGAGGGGATCTGGCCCCTCCTGGGCCTGGCAGGTGACTGCAAATAATGCTTCCCTGTGGGTGTCCATCCCAGGGGTCCCCAGGCCTGGGCAGCACTGCTGCTTCACCAGGCAGGCAGCTGGTGAAGGTAAATGACCTCAAGTCCAAACTCTGCCCCAGAGTGGGATCTGACCCCTGGATGCTCACTCAACCACTCTGCCCCTATGTGGGTGTCTGGTCATCGGCCTTGACTAATTCTCAGGGCCATGGAGAGACAAGCAAAAAGCAAGATGCCAGGCACTTTAGAGACATCTAAACTGCATCATGGCCACCTATACACGCTGGTACCAACACCATCATGGTGCCCCTGGTGGACAGAAAAGCACTGAGCTCAGGGCGGAGACCCAGCCAAGAGATGGGTCCAGGGGACAGGCGCTGGGCCTGCCTCCTCCCAGTGGGACCCACTTTCTTGGGGCGCCATTGCTGCCCTAGACCCACACCACCTACCGGGTGGAGGCCCAGGTTGCAGACAGGTGATGCCAAGGGCCCAGGGGGCTAAGCAGGGCTGGCCCTCCATGGGGCCATGGATCCCTAGCTGTAGGATCCGTCCTAACGACCCTGGCTGGCATCCCACCAACCCCTGCCCCCAGAGATGGCCTTCCTGGGGCAGTGGGCAGGCAGCCGTGGGGAGGTGACCCTGCCAAGCCTGCACCACTGGCTGCTGTGCACAGTCCCCGCAGACCAAATCACAGAAGGCATCATGCAGCCGAGCTGCCCTGGAGTGGGTGGGGCGAGGTGGGCAGCCACCTTCCCGGGGGTGCTGAGCGGCTGCCTCCTTGCCATGCTGCACACAAGCTGGCTTATCTGAGTTGAGCCCCAACTATCTATGTGACCTCAGGGGACCCACCAGTTCTTCAGCCAGCTGTGGGGGACAGAGCCTGTGGGCACCATTTGCTCCGCATGGCCACAGCAGTTTCAAGCACCAATTCTGGTCCTCCTCTGGCTCTCTTCCTGGGCCCGGAAGTCTTCCCTTGGGGCTGCAGCCACAGCTCCGCTCCAACTGTGAGATATGAAGCTGCTTATCTTCCCCTGTGCCTTGATCTCCCCATCAGCCACACCCTTGGGCACGTGCGAAGGGTTGGCAGGGGGAGTGGAGGCCTCGGCCTTCCAGCAGCTCAGTCCCTACACCTCCCAAACGGCCCTGCTGCCAGACCCCCAACTCTCCACACATTGGAGAGCTTGAAAAGCAGCAGCTGGCCTGGCCCTGGTCCCAGGGTGACCACTGGTATGAACTGACCACTGGAAACCAGTCCTTTTTTGAAGTCCTACGCGGGAGGAGAGCTGTGGAATGGAGGTCCCATCATCTGCTCCTTCTATGGGCGAGGTGGGAGTGCTTCCTTGCCCCATGCCGTGTAGAGGGAGGCTTGCATGAAAGGAAGTGGATGGGTCACAAGGCAGAACCCTAGCTGGGTCAGGTGGCTCTGCAGCTGGGTCTTCCTGCCAGCCAGGCAGGTCTTGCCCCTGGCAACCCGCCCTTCCCAGGATCTTGGGCCTGGAGAGGCCACCACAGCTGTGTAAACAGCAGGGCCAACCGGGCAAGCAGAGGGAAGTGTGGGGGCTTTAGGCCTCAGGCTCTCGCTGCCTGTCTGTGGATCCCCGCAGCCTTCAGAGCTCCTTTGCAGCCAGGGGCTGTGACATAACTCCTAAGGGCACCGGCCTGGGGGCTACCCTGTCTCGGGCCAAGGGCACCATCATTAACCCAGTGGGGCAACTAGAAACTCGGGTGCCAGAGGTTGGGGCATCTCTGGGGTGATGGCAGAGGGTCAAGGTCTTCTGACTTGCTTTCCCCGGGAGGAGTGTACTCAGGGGTGTGAGTGCTCCCTACACTTCTTGGGGCCAGCTGCCCTCCTTTCTACTCCCTGAGCAAGATCCCGCTTTCAGAGAGGCCAGGGGGAACCTGGTAAGGAAAGCTCTTCCCTCTGAGGCAACAAAATGGAGAAACTGAGGCATGCTGGCAGCTGCTACGTCGGATGAAACAAAGCATATCCCAGTACCTGACTCGTTCATTTCCACCAAGTTCAGCTTTGTAGGAAGATGATAGCAAGGACAGTGACCCCCAAATTTCCGACTCCCTCTCAACAGCCCTTTGGATGTGGGATTTGGCCACTGGTCTGAAAATGCCTGAAGCACCAGGAGGGAGCTGGGGCTCATAAAGCTGACACGGGAGGAGACGCAACCTCAGATGGGGTTAAGTGAACCAGCAGCCTCACAAGATACAGACACCTCTCCCCTGGGGCAGCCATCCTACCCTCAGGAAGGAGGGCGTAGCCCCTAGGCCTCCAGGAGGGTCCTACACACAGCCTGACGGGCCCTCCCCTCCAGGACTGGCCACTGCAAGGTTTGTCCCATGGCTCCGTCCTCCAAATACAAAGCTGCCTCTGGATGCCAGGATTCTGCCTACTTTTGGAGAAAGTTACATAGACCTACACCTTTTCCCCCACATAATCTCTAACTCAAGAAAAATCCCCCAAATAACCTAAGAGCCCTCTACCCACCAGACCACCATTTAATCACTGCACTCCGCACCCTCTGTCTACACGTCGACTAGCCAGTGATCAGTCCGACGGATCGGTACAAACACTCTTCCGAACCATCACTCTGCGCCAAGCTGTCTGGGTGCACGATAACAAGCCTGCCACCCCTTCCAATCCATGGGGTTCCCTGCCATGCACCCTCAAACTTACCTCCTTCAAGCTGATAAGTGTACAGTGGGTGGTGTTATCCCCAGGTCACAGACAGGGAAACAGAGGCACAGTCTCCTGTGGCACAGTGCCCCGCCTGCTACCTGAGCACCCACCATGAAACCGACGTCCACCACTCCACAGACTGCCTTCCCAGGGACTCACCGATACTGTACCCATCTTCACAGAAAGTGAGCTGGGCTCCCCCACAGAGAACACAGAGGACCAGACCAGGCGAGAGAGGCCCCAGAACACAGGAAAGGCTCTCCCTCCCTTCCAGGACACTCTCTACTCATTCCTCTCCCCTCCTCAGCAACTAAGGGCAGGAGCTGGGTCTGCTACTCGCCCCCAAGTCAGCAGCCTGCGTCCCATATGGAGAAGGCTGCACTGAGGAATGACAGGTCTGAGTTCCAGTTCTGCCCTCCCAGGGTGGCAACTCATCCTCTGGGGTGTGGGTTGTTTCCAGGGAGCACGGGGCAGCACCAAGCACGCAGCAGTGTCTGCAATTTATGAAATGAGAGGAGAATTCTGAGGGAGGGCACACATGGGTGACAGCCTGCTGGAGTTTGCTTGGAAAGTGAGCTGGAAGTGGGGGCAATGGGCTGCATGGCCACCCGCAGCACAGACACACACAGTGCAGCTTGCAGCAGCGCACCTGATGCTTCCTGCCTCCAGACAACCCCCTTCCTCTTGGCTTGAGAGCCCCTGAAGCCCACTGCTGAAGGCTAACAGTCAGGGGCTCCCCTACAAACACAAACATGCCTGTCTAGGTAGCACACCCGATGATCAGTGGGAGGGAGGTGGCGCTTTCCAGAGTGGACGGGCCGGTGAGCCGGCTCAGGTGAAGCTCTGAGCTAAAAGGTAGCGCGTGGGGGCTGGACGATGTGGGGAAGCTTCGTAGACGGTGCTGTTGGCAGAACTGCCAACTGTGATGGCAAAAGGAGCCGTGTGTCTGGGTGAGTGTGCATGTGTGTGCAAGCATGTGTGCTCAGGTGTGGTCAGGGATACCACAAGATAGACCCGGAGGGTGGAAAGCCCGTGGGCTGCTTTACTCCAACACAGTTTCTTAAGCCACCGGTGGAGTGAAGGAAAGAGCCACCAGTTTTCTCAAAGCTTGGCATAGGGCTGGGCTGAGGCACAGGCTGGCCCCCCGGGGGTCCTAGTGACCCTCACTCCGCCAGAGCTGTGGCCCCATCCTGCCGGGCAGCCTGGGTGGTGGCCAGCAGCCTCAGCAAGCCAGCCCAGGGGAGAATGAGCAGGCGCCCCCTGAAGCCTCTCGGGCTTCATGAGTTCTGTCCGAAACACCAGGCTCCCCACCCGTCCCTGAGTCCCGTGCTCCCGTGGAATTAAAGAAGGGAGAACCACTCACCACCTGGACGCCAGCCAACGTGGCGCTGATGCCACTTTTCCTGGAATGAGCTTTTTTCCACACTCGCGCCGGCTGGAGCCATCGGCAGCCCAGGCTCCCACCTCTCCGACTTGCCTCACACCCTCCGCCGCTCTCCAAGATGCTTTCAAGTAAGCCACTGTCACCGCTACGTGAAATTATACTAAGAAAGGCGGCTGGCTCCCCAAGCCAGAGGCCAGGGCAGGCGGGGGAGAGGCTGGCAAGCCGTGCTCAGGTGCAGGATGCTCCGAGGATGCTGGCGGGTGGCCCGCAGGAACCCTGCCCCTCTCCTCTCATCTTACAAACTTGCCTCTTCAAGGAAGGCACCCCCCCCCCACCATGGGAGGAGGCTCAAGCACAAGCCAGAAGGACCCCAGGGTAGAGTAAACCCCACCACAGTCGGCCTCCCAGGAGACCTGGAGTCACCATGAGCCAGGGCACAGCCGCTCACGGGGCCGACCTTTGATGAGTCCTATCAGATTTTCCGTTGCCAGCAAACCCGAAGCAAAGCAAAGCAGCACACCGCCTCTCCACCCTCACACAGCTTGCCAGCCCATCAGAATTTACAGCGAGTCTGGCAGCAGCAGCCAGACGCCGGTAATGTCATTAAGCCTGCACCATGCCTGGATGCCAGGAGGGTCCCCGCGACAGGCTGCAGAGGGAGCAGAGGGAAGAAGCCCCGGAGCCTGCAGGCACAAAGCCCTCTCCCCCACTCAGTCACCCAGCTGTGGAGCCTGTCTGGCTAGCAAAGAGTCTGGGGGGGGGGGCGGAGGGAGGGGCGCTCCCAAGCAGCTTTAGAGAGGGAAGGCTTTGGAAACAGATACAGCTGAGAGGATCCCAGAGCAGCCGGGAGCCCCGCCTTGGGTTGCCTTCAAGGGTGTGCTGTTATTAAAGCAATCTGTCAGAGGTAATGCTGGAACAAAAAGTCTAATCCAATCAGATGCCTGTGCAGCCCCACGTATCCAGACGCCCCGGGTGGTCGGCCCAGTGGGGGCGCAGTGCTGGGCGCAGGGGCCAGACCTAAGCCCAGATTCCCGGTACCTGCACCAAACTGTGACGCTTCCCCATGAGTGGGCAGGGCCGCTGGGAGTTGGCTTTCTATTTAAAGATCACATGGGCTTCCTCTCAGACACCCTCAACCCAGGCTTCTAAGAACTGGGTGCTAGAGCCGTCCCCACCGGCCTCGGCCTCGGCCTCGCAGCCCCGCATCCGGGAGGTGTCCTAGCAGAGAGCTCTTCTTTCCCTTTTCCCTCGTCAGCCACACAGGGCGGGGGAGGGAGCCAGAGAGGGGACCTGCCCCTCCAGGGTCCAGGCAGCCGTGGGCTGGCTAACAGGGTCCCTCCGGGGAAGCCCTCCAGGAGCCACAGCACTAGAGAGGGGGACGTCAGCCCAGCGGGCAGCAGCACTTTGGCCCAAACTCCGCAAGGGACTGTCCCAAGTAGAGGGTGGTACAGGCCAAGCTGCTTTGCCCAGAGCCAGCAGACTGGATCTTCACTACACCACCTTCTTGGAAATTCTTGGTTACAGGGACAAAACATCCCCCTACTAAAGTCTTTAAAGTGAGAAAGGATTGGAGTGAGAGCCAGAAAGGCTGTCCCCCAGGGTCCTCACTGCGGGAGCATACGTGAGCTTCTGAATTTCCCCCTTTTTCTGCTAGGTTAGACGTGGCCTGGGAACGTGGACTGACCGTGCTGTGGACAGTGCCATCAGGAGGTGCAAGTGCAAAGGAGACCAGGGGCCCCAAGCAGCAGGGCCAGAGCCCAGCCTCTCCCAGACACCCTGGAGGGGAGGCTCAGACCCTCAAACTCTGCCTGTCCCCTCTGAGCTCCAAGACAGGCCATGACTTGCCCTCCCTGTCTTCCTCCATCCCAGCTACTTGACAGAAAACAAGCAAGCCCACGTGACCAAGATAGAGCCTTCCCTGTTGGTAAACCCGTCCTAAGGCTATGACCATTTCAGAAGGTGCAGAAAATTACCTTTCAGGAAGAAAATGCAAGGAAGGGGGGCAGGGGAGCAAAGGGTGAGATCTGGGAGCCCCTCGCTGGGCTGGGGCTCATCCAGCTGCCCCCCACCTCTGCGGAGGTCCACCAAGCTCCCCATGCTGACAGCCTCAGGGAACAGCCCCCAGCACGCGGCTCTGCTGGCATCCCATGCCTGGAGAAGTGAGGTCCCCCAAGATGGGGGTGCCCCTGGGGTGGACAGGACAGAGGGATGGAGGAGCCATGAGCTTGGGAAGGGCTGAAGGAGGAAGGGAGGCCGTAGAGGAAGGGGTGGGGAGAGGAGAGGGAGGGAAGGAAGGAGGGAGAATTGATTCTTTCTCCTCCACTGGGACCACGGAGCTAAGTTGCCATGGAGAACGGGGAGCTGCTGGCAGAGCCTAAGGCGGGCGGAGGAGCCATATGCCAGAGGGAAGGCGTATGTCAGCACGGAGCCAATCCCCACACTTCTCCTGTGCAGCCTCCCCCAGATCAGGCTTCTGGGCCCAGGTTGGGCAAGCTGGGGGGGAACCGGCCCGGCCCAGTGGGCCAGTCAGCCTCTCTGGCTCCTTAGAGCTCCGCCACTGCGCCAGAGCCCATGCATGCCCTTGCAAGTCATGCCATCCAGCCAGATCCCTGTGGAGGCCCAAGGAGACCAAGGTCCCTCCCAATGGCCTGGGGCGCCCTGGGGGCCCTAGTGCTCAGGGAGGTGCCCCTGACCTCCACCTTCCTCCCCCTATCTTCCAAACCCCAGGTCACACTTCTCCATGAGTTTCAGCCACGCTTCCCACCCTCGAGAGTGAGGCGACGCCCACCAAAGATGGGACTTTTATGCTCAGAGCCACGGGAGAAGGACCAAGGGGGCTCCCAGCACCCGGGCCACCAGGGGGCTGGCACTGCCCACTCCCAACACAGCTCCCTGAGGTCCCCACCTTGAGGCAGAGCCGCAGCTGTTCTGCCAGGACTCCAGCCGCAGCCAGTCTCCTGGCTCTTCACAATCACCACTGGGACAGTGGGAGTGAGGTGAGGCAGAGAGGGTGGGCGCCTGGGTCAGGGCCTCTGCCTGGCCTGCTAGACATGGGACAGGGGCAAGAGCAAGGGCCTCTGCTGGTCTCCATTCTGCATCACAAAGGTAGCCTCAGTCTGTATTCCACACCTGGGGGAGCCGGGGCCAGCCCAGGTCACAGACTCCAGAGAGTGCAGAGACCCTGTCCCCCAGAGGACGGAAGCCCCTCCCTGCCCTGTCACCGCACCGGCAGCCTCCGGGCTGTGACGGAGGCCCCAAGGCCCACACTGGAACCCTGACTCAGAGCCTGGGGCCTTGGAAGCGTTTTCTCCTCACAGTCCTCTTCTCAGTTCCCTCAACGCTTTATTATAAAAATGCTCAAGCACATGGTGAAGTGGAAAACGCTTTGGAAGGCGCCTCTAGACACTCACCTCAATGCTACTAGCTCCTCTTGTCTTTTTATGGCGCAAAATACATACAGCGCAGATGCTGCCGTTCCACCTCTGGACGCAAGACTCACGGCAGGAGCCACAGCTGAGCCCGGCCTCTCTGTCTAGCTCCGGGGTATCTTCATCACCCCAAGTGGAAACCCCATCCACGGCAGCCACACCCACGTGCGGGCGGGGCAGGGCTCCATGTACTCTAACAGTCTCATGCACTTGAGCTCCATCTCCATCTTTGGGCTCTCATCCTCCCACTTTTCAGTGAGTTTTTCAGAGCCCAGTGAGGGTTCCTGGAAGCCATCCCAAGGGGGGTGTGGTCTCGGAGGCCCAGGGGACCCAAACCACATGTTCATCCTGCTGTTTTTCTGAAAGCATTGCTCCCTGGGGAGGACCTGGGCGGCCCCCCTTGGAGGACCCAGCCAGTGAATGGCGGGAGATGGCCCGGGATTCCCCTGGCCCCAGCACTCACATACAGCCTGCCTGTCATTACCCCTGTCTGAGCCTCAGCATCTTCATCTGAAAGTGGGGCACAAACTCCATCTCACAAGGGGGCGCAAAGGTGAGGGAGGTGCCTGACAGGGCTTCTGCTCGATGGGCACCTTCTATGCCTGTATGTCCAGCACGGCCTCCTGGCCCCACAGGGCCACTGAGCCCCTGAAATGAGACTAGTGTGATTTGGGGGGAAGGGGAGAGAAAGTGAATTTTAAGTTTTATTTCATTTAATTTAAAATTAAAGTGCCATGTGGGGCTAGATGGCCATTCTGGACACAGCTGCTCCAGAGCTGGACAAGAGGGGAAGGCAGACACAGTTAAGGCAGGGCCCAGGCCCTCTGCCCTCCCCGTGGCCCCTCCCCCCCACCCCCGACTTACCCCACGTGTCTGGGCAGCGGGTGTCTGTAACCTGGTCCCCGAGGGCCCCTCTACAAAGTCAGCAGTTGGGCCCTCAAACAAGTCAGTGCCAGCTGGAGAGCGGGCTCTGCGGGCTCCATGATGACGAGGGTCCTGGATGCTCAGACCTCTCCTTATGCCCCCGCTGGCCCCAGACCACCATTCTAGAACCCCAGCTCCTGCAGTTTCCCCCAGCAACTCCTGAAGTCATCCCTGGAATGTCTGGGCAGAAGCTCTAGGTTTGGAAAGTGCCTTCCCCATCCCAAAGTGACAACAGGGACCAAGGGATCTGCATACACCCCTGGACCCAGGGGGAGTGTGGGCCGAGCACAAAAGGGGGCCCTCCCCCCATAAAGCTGCTCTCATAGGTGCATGGATGGTGAGACTGAACCTTGGTCTGAAGCCCAACCCAGCTGCCAGCTGCCCTGCACAGGCCTCCTGAGAGGCAACTCTGGGACAGTGGGGGTGGGAGGGGACCTGGCACCCGAACCCACACCTGGCAGGCAGGTGGGGGTCCCAGAGAAGGCTGTGTGGCTCCAAAGCCTGAAGTGCAGGGACTGCAACCTGGCCAAGTCATCCCACTCCTGTCACACCCACCTGGGCTGCCCAGCAGAGCAGCAGCAGCATCTGGGGTGTGGCAGGGGGGCTTTCTGGAAAAGCAGGGGAAATTTAAACACAGCCACAAAGAAGCATAACTCGTGCTAAGCAGGGAACCCACAAACAGAACAGCCACCCCAAGCTGTGAACCGCTCTCCTCTCCAGTAGGAAAGAGCAGAAAGGATGGGGAACCCGCCCAGGTCTCACCTTGGGAAGACCTGGCTTGGCCCTCGGCCCCTGTCGACACAAGGGCCGGCAGGACCCCTCCAGACCTCCCGCCTTGGCTCAAAGCTGGCAAGTGGCCTGGTCCTGCCCTGCCCAGGGAGAAGGCCTGGGACCTGCCTGCCTGCCCTGGGTACCTAAACCTCCACGTCCACAGCAGCCGCTTGGGGCCGTTCTCCTGAAGCCACCCCAGGCCACCCTGCCTCATCTAACACTCAGCCTGCGGCACTCATTGTCCCGTGGCGCCCACGGGCCCTGACACGCTGAGTACCCTTCTTTCTCTTTACTTTAAAAATCGTGGTGCCAAAGGTGCCCCTTCAATTTATCACCCGGGCCATTTTCAAGCATCCACACCCTCACCTTGTTGTGCCACCACCACCACTGGCCTCTCCAGAGTCCCCAGCTACACCAGGGACACCCTACTTCTCCAGGACTGGCACAAAGTGGGTCCTGTCCTGCTGCCTGGTTTCTCTCCCTCTGGGTATGTCTGGGTCCTACCACCTCTCTCTGCTGTGTCTCCCACTGGAGAGGAGCGTGTCAGCGGGGCCGTCTTCCCACTGTACCTCCAGGGCCTTTGAAGGGCACCTAGCACTCAGCAGGCGCTGACCAAATCTTGAATGGGTGAGCAAGTAAAAACTGTGGGGGTTACGATATCCAGGCCCGACCTGGCAGCACAACTGCCTTCCCCACGTGGACCAACCCTAGCTATGGTGCCACCCCCAGCCACGGTGTTTGCCCCTGCCCTGAAATCCCAGACCCACTATCCCTGAGAGGTGACCGCAGGCAGCACTGCCCGCCACCCCAGGGGAGCGGGAGAGGGGTTTCCCCAGACATGGCACCTAGGGGGATGGCTGAAGGCAGACGAGAATATGAGGCCAGGGGCAGAAACGGACTGGACTGCACAGGGGCTGGGCTCCACCAAGAAGCAGGAAGGCCAAAACCTGGTGTGGTTTTGCGGGGGGGGGGG